GCAAGGCTAATAAATTAATAAGAACCAAGGGAAGGGGAAACAGCAACAGAAAGGCGTGGCTGGGAATTACGTGACTGGCTTGAGAGTAAGGAACAGGAGGGGATGTAGCAATAAGAGAGAAAGTGATAGTTATGGAGGCTAGGCAGAGCTAGCCAACATTTGGAGAGAAAAATGGTGTGAAGGGGAGGATTCTTTCAGAAACAAGGAAAAACAGAATCTTTGGGCAGAAGGTCATGCCTAGAAAATCAGGCCTAAAATGCTAAAGATAAATCTGGTCTAAAACTGTAGTGCTTCGGGCCCTAGGTAAAATATGCCAATTCCACATATCAAGTTGATATCAGAATTCTCCACATGAATGTGTGCTGCCACAAAACATGAGTGAAGTCTACAGACTTGTAAGGGGAGTAAAATAATTGAGATAATATAAACAAAGATAATATGTAAACACTATCTTATCATGTCAAATTACATTACTAAAACAATATACGGTAGACCATTAAATATAAGCGATCAGCTTATTTTATTACAAAGTAATTATTTAGCATAAACATCATAAGCAGATAGTCTGGACCTGAAAAAATTCAGGGAATATAACAACTACTATCATCTTTCCTTGGAGGGAAAAAAAATTCTCTGTGCTATAATTGACCCAAATGACTCAAAGAAAAATAACAAACAGAAATAGAAAAGCCACAGGTAAAGAACACCAGCAACCAGACACTGACAGACGTTTAAACAATTGTAGTATAGTTTTAAGACTCAACAACTGGAGGACTATGGTTACAGAAAGTCATAAACGTGTGCGCTAAAAAAATTAAACAGAACAGCCATCAGGAGATATGAAGAGAGGCAATAAGTGATATTATAGAGCATTAATGTGAAAACATATAGTCAACTTCTGAGTTTTCATCACCTTTTTTTTGCTGTGTATAAAATCCTTTATATATCTATATATTTAAATGAAAAGGAGAGCTGGTGGTGCTGTGGGCTGAGCATTGGACTGCAGCTCTAAGGCTGATGGTGCAAATCGTGGGAGGAAAATGAGGCCACCTGCTTTTGTAGAGACGTACAGCCCTGGAAACCCTTTGTAGCATCACTATGTGTCAGCATGGACTCGGTGGCAGTGTGGTTTTCAGTATTAACTGGAAGTTAAAAAGTCATTCCATTTCACTTCTGTTGCTTTTTATGTTGAATTTATGTTGAATTCAAGCAAAAATGAAACATAATTGCTCATATTAGAAAACAATTTCAATCTGCCCATCTCCAAACAGTCTTCGCGTGTGAAGAGATGCTCACAATGGTGCTCGTCCTTGGGAACACAGTGGGGAGGGGACCGGATAGCTTGTTGTCTTTGTGCTTTTCTGTGTTGCTTATTTTTTTGTTTGTTCACTTTAATGAGTCCCCATTTTTATAAAAGCCATAAAATCATAACTACCCATTTAAAAGACATAAAGCCATTACTGTTCATATAAAATCTTGGTTGGTATTGTCATCACTCCTCAGTCATTTAAATAACATTGCAGTTTTGACAAGCAAGAATGAATCCTTGACATTTTTTTTGCAACTGATGCCTTAGGGATTGGCAAGTGCCTCCAGGCCAGAGGCTTATGCCCTGGGGAACCTCTGCCATTAGAATGAGATGCTTTGGCATTTTTAGTGGTCATAAATCAAGACAGTGGGCTGAGTAGGGTGTGTGTGAAGTGGGATTGGCCTGAATCTCTGTGGTGATGATGGACAGAAACTGCTGCCCAATGCACCATCATACCAATGTGTAAACCAGGAGTGTGAAACCTCACTTCTAATTCTGGCTTTAGCAACATACGCTTGGGTGCTTACTTAAATCGTGTCCCTCCAGAACTCTGCCCCGTGCTACTGAGTTCCTTTTACTTCCATGAATTCTTGCTGTTCTCCTGCCTCCAGGCCTTTGTGCATACAGTTCCCTCTGCACTGAATATTTCTGTCCCTTCCCACCTTTCACCCAGCTGGCTCGGTCTGCTTCAGCTTCAACATTCACTTCCTTCCACTGGAAGGCCTTCTCCTTCCCAGCCTGGATTAGGCTTCCCTTCTGGATAACGGGTAGTGGTGTCTCATGGTTTACTTGTTATTTACTCCACACCAGACCTCCTCAGAGGACTGGCCTCTGGAGCGTGGAATTAGTGTAGGAGTGAGAGGTCAGCTCACCTGGTGCCACTGCAAGTCTTGCCTTCTTTTCCTTTTCTTGGCTTGGCCAGAATGGTGACTAGTCCTGTAGTTTCTGTTGCCAGCAAGGAACACCCTCTCCTCCTGCTTCATCAGCGCTTTGTTTTTCTCTCAGCTGGCCCTTTGGCTCTTACCTCTTCTAAAAAACTACAAAGGTTTTGAGTTTAAGTTCATCAGGAGACAGCAGATGTTCAGTTTAGCCCCCAGAACTGGCAAGTAGGAGCAGTCGCTATGTAGGGAATAAGTCCTCACTCCTGGGCCCCCAGGCCAGGGTCAGCGTGAACTAGGGACTGTGTGTGCTTTACATTTCCCAGCAGAACGTGGTGTCTGGCCTCAGGTACAATATGTTAAGGTGGAGGAGGGTGGGGGAGTGTGTAACATGTACACCAGGGTTTGCTGCAACATTATTCACAAGAGCCCAAAGATGGCAACTACCCAAGTGCCCATCAACTACCCAAGTGCCAACTATGTAAACAAAATGTGTATCTACATACAATGGAGTATTATTCAGCCTTAAAGAAAGTGAAGTCCTGGAGCGTGCTACAGTATGAGAGAATCTTGAAAGCATTTTGCTGAGTGAAAAAGAAGCCAGACACAAAAGGACAAATATTATATGCCCCACTTGTGTGAAATACCTAAAATAGATAAATACATAAAGACAAAAGCTCATTAGTGGTTGCCAGGGGCTTGTGGATGGTGGAAAGGGGTTCATTGCTGAAGGGGCCCTGAATTTCTGTTTGGGATGACAGAAGATGTTTAGAGATGGACATATATAAAATGCCTAAAACATAATGAATGTAATTCATGTCATAGAATTGTCCACTTAAAAAATTGATTAAGCAAGGGCAATGTAACTGAGAGGAATTATTGAAACCCAAATGAAGGCCGAACATGGTAGTGGAACAAGAGGAAAGTAAAAGAAAATAGGGGAATGAACTAGGAGATAAAGGACATTTATAGAGGTCTAAATACAGGCATGTACACAGGGAAATAGATCTATATACTTATATTTATATGTTAAGTATTAAGGTAGCAGATGGACATTGGGTCTCGACTAAAGTACTCCCTCAATGTAAGAACACTTTGTTCTAATAATTCAGCATTCTGTGATGCTTACCTTCCCCACATGATTGCTGAAGACCAAATGGGTACATAAGCAAATGTGAAGAAAGCTGACGGTGCCCAGCTATCCAAAGATACAGCATCTGAGGTCTTACAGGTTTGAAAATAAACAAGCAACCATCTTGCTGAGAAGCAACAATGCCTACATAGAAGAAGTACACCAGCCTGTGTGATCACGAGTTGTTGATGGGATCAAGTATCAGGCATCAAAGACCCAGAACAAAAAATCATATCAATGTGAATAAGGAGGGATGTGGGGTGGAGGTTCAAAACTCATCTGTAGACAATTGGACATCCCCTCAAAGAAGGGTCACAAGGAAGAGATGAGCCGGTCAGGGTGCAGCATAGCACAGATGGAACATATAACTTCCCTCTAGTTCTTTAATGCTTCTTCCCCCCACTATCATGACCTCAATTCTACCTTAAAAATCTGACTAGACCAGCATGTACACTGCTACAAATAAGAGGTTGCAACACAGGGAATCCAGGACAGATAAACCCCTTAGGACCAATAATGAGAATAGAGGTACCAGGAGCATAAGGGGAAGGGGTGGGGAGGAGATGGGGAATTGATCACAACGATCTACATATAACCCTTTCCTAGGGGGACAGACAACAGAAAAGTGGTTGAAAGGCAACAGTGGTAGGTATAAGACATGGGGGAATATTTTTTTAAATAAATTATCAAGGGTTCTGTGGGAGGGAGGGTGGGGGAAGGGGAAATGAGGAGCTGATATCAAGGGCTCAAGTAGAAAGAAAATGTTTTAAAAATGATGATGGCAGCATCTGTACAAGTTCATTTGATGTAATTAATTTATGGATTGTTATAATATCTGAAAGAGCCCCCAATAAAAAGATAATAATAATAATAATAATAAAAGATTAAATGTCGTGTTAGGCTGAGTTGGTTAGAGAAACAAACCCAAAGACACTCATATGTATGAGAGAACCTTACATCAAGAAGTAATTGCATGTCAGGAAAACATCCCAGCCCAGTCCACACATCCATAAGTCCGATAATAAACCATAGGTCCCTCTTCGGACTCTTGTAGCCTCATGCAATGATGCAGAATGCAGGAACATCACAGGCTGGTGGGTGCAAAGTCTTGTGGCTCCAATGGTGGTGGTCACATTGTCGGGTTCCGGCAGCTTTCAGAGTGGCCCGCAAACAGGAAGGTGAAGGCAGAGAAGAGAGAGAGGCCAGCCTGCAGAGAGCTATATATCTCCAAGTAAGGTCTCCAGGCTCCAACCTGATTGACAGGCTACACTCCACCCTGACACTCTTATATATCTTTAAGTTGACATGAAATTATGTAAATACCACAAATGGCAAATGTTTGAATGCATCTATTTGGCCCCATTAAAAACAAAGAATTAACAAGCATTTTGCAAAGCAGCATGTAGCATGTCAGCAGAATATTTGTATCTATAAGTTGCACAAGCAAAAAACGCTGGCAAGGAACTAGACCAAATAATTTGCAGTTTTTCTGTAGTGACATGTCCTATAGTAACTGTTTCCTTGATGCTGGAAAGTCCCTCCAGTATGGCATGCCACTGAGAAATTCCCCAAGAAGGTCCAGAAAAGCTGCCGCAGCCACTGAGCAGTGTCCTTCTCCTCACAGTGCTCTGTTCTGCACAGGCCTGGCAGGCCCTCACCAGCATGTCTCTTTCCTCCACAGACGAAGGAAGACCTGGAATCCCCCCGCACATCCTCAACAGCTCGCCGTCGGACCGGCAGATTAACCAGCTGGCTCAGAAGTTGGGCCCTGAGTGGGAGCCCATGGTGCTGTCACTGGGGCTGTCGCAGACTGACATCTACCGCTGTAAGGCCAACCACCCCCACAACGTGCAGTCGCAGATCGTGGAGGCTTTCGTCCGGTGGAGGCAGCGCTTTGGGAAGGAGGCCACCTTCCAGAGCCTGCACCAGGGCCTCGTGGCCGTGGAGGGGGACCCCTCACTGCTGCAGCACATGGTGGAATGACCCTGCCTCCAACAAGCCCCATGAATGGAGTCCCTGTGTCACCTGACTGGCACTTAGGGCGGGTGCTCTCCTCTCTTCAGTTGATTTCCTTTCGTAATGATCTTGAGAGAGAGGGACAGCAGAGCTTCCCCTGGATAAGACTCAGAAGGCCAGGATTACACAGTAACCTCCTACCGTGGCTGGATTATCCATTGTTTTTAATTGCTTGAAGATTGTATTGCTGTAATTGTGTAGTTTTTATTTGTGCCATTGCCATTAATAGACTGGTAAATGACAGTGGCATTAAAAAGTGATATCACTTTACATTCAGATGTCTTCTGTATAAAACACCCACTTTTGAGTTTCTTGGGAACTGAACTGTGGACTTTGCTAAAATTAATGCTGACGATAATAAAAAGTAAATTACTGCATGTAATGTGCCCCTCTCACGAGAATGCATTTCTCTCCTCCCTCACCCTCTTGCGCCCCATTCTTGTATTGCAAAGATTAAGGATGTGAAATCAGACTCATCCTTTCTTCAGAACAGAACCGACGTTGTTGATAGGAGCTGTGGAGTCGCTCCTGACTCAGTGACCCTGTGTACAACAGAATGAAACACCGCCAGTCCTGCGTCATCCTCACAATTGGTCTTACATTTGAACCCATTGTTGCAGGGACGTGTCAGTCCATCTCGCTGAGGAGCTTCCTCTTTTGCGCTGCCCTTGTACATTACCAAGCATCATGTCCTTTTCCAGGGACTGGTCTCTCCCGATAACATGTCCAAAGTACGTGAGATACAATCTTGTTATCATTGCCTCTGAGGAACAACGGAATAGATAATGAAAGTAAAAAGATAACGTCCTCTGTGCAAGATCAATAGCTGAGGGGCGAGGGGTGTCTGTATTAAAGGGAAGACGCTAATGCTCCCTGTAAGGACCACTTCAAGTACCAGCGTGCTTATCCGAGCTCTTATCTCTCAAAGATTGCTTTGGGAAATCCTGTGCCATTTATTTAAAGGATTTGTTCATTGGGCGAGTTTATTTAAGTGGATCTGTTAGGTAGCTAGATTTAGGGGCAGGAGGGTCGTCCCTCCCAGGCCTGAAAAGGCCCCCATAGAGGAGGTTGGAAAGAAATCAGTCAACTCTTAGACACCCAGAAATGAGCATGCACAGACTAGGACCCCCTAGACCCAGGTCAAACCAGTACCTTGGGCGCACCCGCCACCTTAGGTACCAGCAAATGACTTCACATGGATGGGCCTAACTCAGCCCATCAGGTCAACGGAGACCTTCAGCCACACCTCTCCAGCCACAGGTGTTAAAAACCCGCTGCAGGAAAAGCCACTTTCTCCTTTTTGCTCTGGCCTTGTAGCAGGTCAGAGAGTGGGGCCGCACACACACTGCCCTTGTGTTCCCGTTCCTCCCCACCCAGTAGGGCCCACTACAGGCCTGCTTGGGGCCCACATGTGCTTGGGCTCCTAGGCTCTTGCTCTCTTGTCCTCTTGCCCCCTTGCTCTCTTGGTCACTTGGTCTCTTGACCTTTTGGTCCCCAGGAGTCCCCAGTTCTGCACGTGTGGGAGTTCTTTTCCATGGTGCCCAGTTGTGAACCCTGGTGCAGCTTCTGCTGGCTTGACAAGCCTTCCAGAAATAGCATGTACCCTTTTGAGACTATAAAACCTGGTAAGTACTCACTTCGATTACAAAACATTCTTCGGCGTGAATTCTTTCAGCGTGCTAAACAAAGACCCGAGGTCTAACCCACCCGGGCACCCACAGATCCTCCGTGAGTGAAGTGCCGTTCGCTCCTGAGGAGTAGGACTCCCTGCTACCTTCTGTCCTTCATTAGTCACGGCTCGCGGCCATGTTTGTAGATGCATTAACCTTCTCAAGACTTTGCTCATTTGCAGCCTCATTTGGACTTCACAGTGGTCTTACGAGGTTAGTGGCTGGATCTCACGACCATGCTATGAGGTTGGAAAACAAGCCTGGTTAGACTCGGTCTGTAGAGTAAGCCGTTTGCCCAGGGTAAAGGGATGGGAATGCCCTTCTTGATTAGAGCGCTGGCCATGTGCGCCCTTCCTCACTGCTGCTGCTTGTTGTTAGGTGCTGTTCAGTCAGTTCCAACTGATTGCAACCCCATGTACCACAGAGAGAAACCCTGGTCCAACACCACCACCCCGCAATCGTTGCTATGTTTCAGTCCATTGATGCGGCTACTGTGTCAGTCCATCCCATGGGGGATCTTCCTCTCTTTTGCTGACCCGCTCCCGAGCATGAGATCGCTTTCCCAAGCCTTGGTCCTTTCTGATAACATATCTGAAACAGGGAGATGAAGTCTTGCCATCTTTGCTTCTAACACAGATTTGTTCTTCTGGAATTCTACAGTATATTAAATATTCTTCACCAACACAAGGGAATTGATTTTGTTTGTTTCTTTGCCTTATTCATGATACAGTTTTGCATGCGTTCGAGGCAATGGAAAATGCCATGGCTTAAATCAGGCACACCACGGTCCTCAAGTGACATCTTTTCTTTTAATATTTTTAAGAAGTCTGTGTAACAGTAACCCAATGCACCACATTAGTTGATTTCTTCTGTGTGATCCCCCTACCCCTCTGTCCATAGCACATCCAAACCTACTTCAGGAAGTAGATCCTGACTCTTCACAACCCTACAGGACAGAGTAGAACTGTTCCGTGGGGTTTCCAAGGCTGTACATCTCAATGGAAAAGATGTCTTTATTTCTCTTCCAGAGCGGCTGCTGCCTTGGAAATGCTGACCTTTTCCCTTGCAATGGAGCGTTTCCAGCTCTGTTCTCCCAGGACTCCTCCTCCAGTCCTTCGTACCTCCCACTACAACTCCCACAGATTGAAGCCAGATGTTGCCGGCATACTGGGAATGTTTTAATGTAATGGCTGCTGTTTACTCCTAAAAACTGTAAGCAGAGCTTAGGAGAACAGGCGTTTCTATCGTGTTGGCATCTACTGTTTTTAAAGGAAAATGAAAATCTCACAGAGAAACAGTTCAGTGAGCCAATTAAATCTTTTCTGTGAGATTGGCACAAAATAGATGGCCGTCCTTCTGGTAGCTATTACGAATTCCAGACATGTCACAGGAAAGCCAGGTGTGATTGCTTGCTGGAAAAGGTAAAAATATCCTACCTCTTGGATATTTGCTTATGTTTCCATTTCATTCTCATGTTCTTCCAGAATAATTTTTTGTTTTGGGGGTTTTTTGGTGTCAAATTGTATTCTTAAAGGAGTATATTTGCAGAAAACCTGAGCTGGGTTAGATTTGATGGAATAGCTATTAGTCTTTATCGTGGTAACACACAACATCCCACTTGTGAACTTGTAGGAAATGAAACAATTTCATCAGGACTTAGCTGATACCAAGATTTTCAAATTAATTTGACAGCACCCTGCTTATCCCTGGAGAAGGCTTACCAAAAAGATGAAGTCAGCCAGTCCAGCTATAGTCTGTTGGTGAATTAAGTGCTCTTGGTACATTCTGTGGCCAAGGATGAAGCAGTATGATTTGGGAAATATTTCTCTAAAAGTTCAGAATATCTGTAACAAGTAGTCATTCTTACATATTTAGAGATCCTATGTTCCTTTTTTTTTTAATGTCACTGT